TATCAGAATAGGAGAGGATTAGCAGAAAGAGGTAAAAGGGAGAAATGCAGATTAAAAGACGAGGGGGGGAGTGGGCCCGCCGACTGGACGGAAGGGTGAGGGAGCAGGGCCCTAGGACTAGTCGAACCACAAGAGGCCGAAAATCAATCCGCCATTCTGTTGACGGACTCTGGAGGAGTAGCAACAGTTTTAAAGTGAGTAAGTGTGAGAAGTGTGAAGTGAAGTGAAGTGAAGAGGCAGCCAGAAGAAGGACGAGTGAATCACCAGTGAATCACCAGTGCATTATCAGGTAAGCGCAGTGCATTAAGGGGGGGAAGTGTAGGAAATAAGAAATTTAAAAGAGAGGATAAATTAATTCAAGTGAGTTAGTGTATTAAGAGGGATAAAACTGATTTTCCAGGAAAGAATGAGAGTCAGCGGATCAAGTGAAGTGGAGGGAGAGAAGAGGGGAATGTCTCCCCCACCTGAACGGCAGCGCGTGCGACGTGCCTGCAACCGGAGGCTGCGGCGAGCGGGAGCGGCGGAGAAGCAGGGGAGGGGAGAGAGGACGGCTGCTAGCCGAGGTAAGTGTCACAAATTCAAGGAGTCCGGAAAAAAAGTGTGTAGGCCTAACTCGGAGAAATAAAAATGAGTGAATTGTTGTGTTATTACAGTGTATCAGTCGGAACTACCTACACTGCAGTATCTCCCAATGGAGATGCTTCTCCTCATCCTTGGGTATGTGGGTGTGTGGGATCTCCTTCGCCTGCTGACGACTGCCGCATCCCAACGAGTGCGGAACGCCGCGAGGGCCGCCTTCCTTGCCGCAGAACCGATTTCCATCACCATCGGCTCCTCCATGGCCTCTTGCTGGTCTGTCAGCGAAGTTAATGAAGCGGCAATCCAGAAGATGCTAGAGACCCTCAAGCGGTGGATCTTATACTTAGAGGTGGGTGGGGGGTTGAAAGCCCTCAATCATGTGAACTGGTTATCTCGCTATGATCGTGCCGTACAGGTTCAGCTTCAGACCCATCCGGAACTTAAGCCACAGTGGGTTAAGTTCCTGACTTGTCTCCTGAACCCGGAGACGATAATCAGTCATGTCGATTGTACGGCTTTTGACTTCGTTACAAGCCCGAAGGAATATGCTCGTTTCGGCGAGCTATTCCTTGAAAAACATCACGCTCACTTAATGACTGTAGACGGCAAGTGTTTTTGGAAGAGAGAATTTTTAGACCTCAATTGGGCAAAATTACAGTACATAAATTTTATGTTTACCAAAGCTGAGTGCTTAAGGGAGATGGGGAGGGAGGGTGGGGAGGAAGAGGGAGTAAATTTTGAGGGTTGGGTTGTAGACACCATTATAAAGTTTGTAGAAATAGTGCCTACACTTGAGGTACTAACGGTAGATCTACCGTTTACGAGTCCTAATGAGTTCGGTAGTATGAAGTACAAAGTAAGAAGTAAATTTAAGTCTATAAATATGGCGCATTTTAAAGTAGATGTGTGTTGGGGGGCCTATCGGTGGCTCCGGTTTAGAGTAAGAGATAGTGTAAAACAGCAGAGCCCAGACTGTTTCTTTTTTAATAACAAATAAATCGAAAAAAATGAGAAAATGAACAAAAAGTAGTCAAAAAAATATTCCTATCATTCCTTGATGTCATTCCTACACACACATATACAACACTGGGGGTGGGGGAAGGGGTGGGGTATATAAGGGGTTGCACGGTGTTGAGATCACTCATTGTCACCCGAGAGTTCACACTGAGAAGATGTTCATACAGTTCAAGGCGCCATTCTCAATAATTATTTGTTCCCCGTCAAAGGGGGGAAAAACACAGTGGACAGTCACTTTTCTGAAGCATTTGAGTTGCATGACGGATGGTAAGTTTGATAAGATTTTCTGGGCTTACGGGGAGGGGGGTGGTTTACCATCTGAAATTGAAAGGGATCCGCGTGTAGTCAAATACAAGGGAATCCCCAATACGGAGCAATTGAGCGCAAATACTTTACTGATTCTGGATGATTTGATGAGGGAATCATGCAATAGTCCAGCCATATCAGATTTGTACACACGAGGGTGTCGACACAGAAAAATTTCAGTAATTTTACTCACGCAAAATCTATTCTTTCAATCAAAATACTCGAGAGATATATCACTCTCCACACGGTATTTCGTGTTATTACGTAATGTGAGGGATAGAATTTCATTCGCATATCTTGCGAGACAAATTTCGGAAAATGCTGACTCTCTTTGTCGTGCACTAAGAGAGTGCTGGGACGCTCGAAATTTCTCATATTTTGTAATTGACCTCGAACCAACTCAAAAAGAGTCACTCCGATTTCGTTCTCAGATATGGCCTACAGATGATTGTATGATTATATATACAAGCCAGGACAATTTGAAAAAATTGTTAAATTCGGACGCCGGGTTCAGCTCTCCGAGTGGTGAGGTTGGTATCTGATCAGGGGCGAGAGAGGGAGAGAGAGGGGGCGAAAGGGAAGGAAGCGCGAGGGAGTGTGTGTGTGTGTGTGTGTGTGTGTGTGAGAGAGAGAGAGAGAGAGAGAGAGAGAGAGAGAGAGAGAGAGATGGAGAAATTGGCACGCAACAGACATTATTTACACGTACTTAAAAGTTGTCCGAGCAAAGTGCAAAAGGTCATTCTGCAACACGCCAGCCAGGAGTTGATCGAAGGCTTGTGTGCGATATCGCTTAATCTTTTGCAGGGTAACATTGAAATAAGTCCCGAATCACACAAACGCCTTAAAAGGCATAGGGGGCTGTTGAGGACGCTCGCGTACAGGCCCAAGCGCAAGGGTGGGGCCCAGCGCGGCGCGGGCAGCGGCAGCACGCCCACAGAGCTGCGTTTAAAGAAGAAAGTACTGGTGCAAAAAGGAGCGGGCGCATTCCTCACAACGCTCTTGACGTCTGCACTCGGAGGGTTGGTAGGGAGGGTGGTTCATAACCTAGCAAGGAGAGGGGGGAGGGAGGGGTAAGGTAAGTGTAACACACCAAGCAAACGTTTAGCATGGGTTTCGGAAGGGTGGGAGGGGGTACGGCGGGGGGAGGTTACGGTACCCTTCAAAGGATGATGGTGCTAACTCAAGCTCAGTTGGAAAATTTACGGGGCGAAACGGAGCGCGAGGTGCGGCAGAAGTTGGAGTCGGAAATGCACAGTGCGTTACAGAACTCCCACACGATGGAGGAGGGAAACACGGGGGAGGGTGTACAGGCCGAGTGGTCTCGATACCAACCGCTGTTGAGTAAATATTTGGACATGAAACGCAGAGAGCGAGACAATGAGTTGCACATCCCTCTATACGGTGTGGGCGAGGAAGATTTCTTGGAGGGTAGAGAGAGGGGGAGGGGAGGGGAGGGGGGTCGCGGCCAGACCGCGAGGACAGGTGCTCTGAGCTCTCCACACGGAAGTCGCGTCGTGGTGCCTGATCCTCGTCAGCACATTCCTATGCCGGGCAGTAGGCCCAGCGCCGCGGACGAGCAGCTCGCTGCTCGGGCTCGCCTCTCGCGCTTGGCGAGGGGTGAACAAGTGCAGCCTCAGCATAGTGCTGGCAACAGCGCTAGCTCGGGGCCGTCGAGGAAGAGTCGCGGAGGTTTGGCGGCGGCGGCCAGCGCGGAGGAGGAGGGGGGGAGGGGGGAAGACGCCCCCCAGGCGCGCTTCGCGCGCCTG